CGTGAAGGAAGGTGCACCAGAGGTGGAAGGCGCGTCGGGAGAAGCATCCTCAGAACGAGGACGACGATTATAGTGGAGAGGAAACGGTGAGAGAGGGCGACGGACTGCAGATGATGGTGGAGAGGCGGAGGAGGAGGATGGGGAAGATGGTGTCGGTGGTGAAGGAGAAGGAATGAGAGGTGCAGGAGGAGGAGGTAAAACATGAGGCACATAGTAGGGTGTATCGGGGCGAAGAATAAAAGAAATATCGTCCACATAGAAGCTCGAGGAAGAAAGACGTGGGTAGTAAGAGTGAAACTCATCAAAGGTCACATCACGCGAGATGCGCAAACGACGACCAACAGGATCCCAATAGCGATAGCCCTTGTGCTCATCACTGTAGCCAAGGAAAACACACTCAACCGACTGAGCAGTCAGTTCGGTGCGTTCTCGCGGGGCAAGGAGGACATAGCACACATCCAAACATACAAAGAGTTGAGTAGTCAGGAGAACGACCAGTGAGACACTCCGTAGGAATACCACCCTGCAAGGCAGTCGATGGCTGAATGTGGATGAGATAGGTGGATGCAGAAACAGCCTCAACCCAAAAGTGGGGTGGGAGGGAAGCGGCAATCATCAGCGCACGAGCTGTCTCAGGTAGATGACGATACTTACGTTCGGCAATGTCATTATGAGCATGAGCACCAGGACATGAGAACTGAGTAAGAGTGCCCTATGCTGCAATAAAACCATGCAACACCTGGGAGATAAACTCACCAGCGGAGTCAGCACGAAAAGTACGAATGGGCATGGAAAACTAGGTGTGAACCATGACAGCAAAATGTTTATATATAGAGAGAACCTCGCTACAAGATTTCATGAAGTAGAGCCAAGTATAGCGAGAGAAAACGTCAATAAACAAGATATAGTAGCGATGACCACCTTTCGTATCAAAGGGAGCAGAACCCCAGACATCAGAATGAACTAAGTCAAAAGGACGCTGAAATACCGACTCACTGGTAGGATAAGGTAACTAGGCCGGTTTGCCAAGTCTGCAACCATTACAATGTAAAAAAACATCTCCAGAGACAGACCCTAAGAGGCCCTGACGAACTAAAGAAGACAAGCGAGAGCCACAAATGTGACCAAGGCAATGATGCCACTGCTGGAAGGACGCAGGCGAAGAGGCAGCAAGACCATGGGAGCTGGCAGAAGTGGTGGCAGCGGAAGAAACACAAAGCCAGTCAACCTCCCAAAGGCCCTCTGACTCACTGCACCGGGGGCCAGCACCAACCAAAGCCTTGGTGCGACGATCCTGAATAGAGCAAGAGTCGGCATCAAGAATGACACGACAACCAGAATCAGTAAGTTGGCCAGTGGAAAAAAGATTCATGGTAAGGCGATGAACATGTGAAACACTATGAACAGAAACAGATGGAGTGGAAAGAAGACTACGACTAGCAACAGGAAGAGGTGTGGCATTAGCGATAAGAACATTAACAAGTGAATCAAGAGGTCAGAGAAATGGATGCCTGCGGTGTTGGAGAAGTGGATGCAGTCAGAGCAGCAGCGGAACCAGAAGACATATGAAAGGAGGCTCCAGAATCCAGAATCCACGAAGATGTACCTGACGTGTAGATGCCTGCGATGGTGGAGAAGTGGATGTAGTCACAACAGCAGCGGAACCAGTCGACGAGGAGCCAGAAGAAGCAAGTAGACACTTAAGGCGTACAATGTCCTGGTCAGTGAGTGACGGAGTCGATGACGGCACAGGAGTCCCACTGGAAGAGGAGCGGCTCTGGTTGTGCTGCTTCTAACGACAATCAGACTCTGGGTGACCTGGCCTGGAGCAGTAGTCACAGAAAGTGTCACGGCGTGACCGACTCTTCTCAACATAAGGAGGGCGACCCACCCCCCTGAAGGTGTGGGCAAGAGCGGTGGAGCAGTGAGACGAGCAGACGACACAAGAGCTTAGGAAGCCAACACAGATGGAACCACAAGCAACCCAGCAAAACGAAGGCGGGTCTCCTCAGCACGAAGCTCAGCAAGCACCTCCGAGATAGGAACATGACCACGAGCAAGCAAGTGCGCGCGGCGAGGATCAAACTCGGAACGGAGGCACGATAAGAACTCATGGACACGCTGAAACTCCAAGTCGAACCGCATAGTCTGGCAGCATCAGCAAGATCCACAAACAACTGTCCGAAGAGAGTCAAGCTGGTGCTAGATGGAAAAACTCTGTGTGTAGAACTCGTCAATAGATGAGTCACCCTGCTGAAGAGCGTGCTCCTGATGCACCACAGATAAGTAGAGAGCATCACCAGAGGGCTGATAGCGCTGACAGAGATAAGACCACATGGCTGCAACGGTGCTGAGGCCCATGAATTCCGAAGCAAACTTAGGGAGAACACTCGCAGTAAGAACAGCAGCAGCACGAGCATCATCATTGCACCACTAGGTGTAAGCAGACAGATCATCCCAGTAGGCGGAAAGAGCATCTGAATAATCTAACATCTGCTGATCATAAGCATCAACCGCGATATCATCGAGAGCCTTGGTTGCATCCCGATCAGTCTGAGAAGCATCAGTAGCAAGAACCGGCGGTGCCGGCGGGGTAGGAGCCACTAGAGCAACATGACATGGCGGACAGGGGACCTCGCCGGAGAGAACGCCCCACAACAGAAGTCCACGCATGTGGATATGCATGAAATCCACAAACTCGGCATAGTTGGTGCCATCGAAGATCACCGAGCACCGAGGAACAGCGACATAGCCCGAAGAAGACATGATGAGATCTCTGGCTACCTCTTTTTTTTGAGTCAACGGTCACAGAACCGTGATCTGGATCGAGCTGAGGCCCGCGCGAGATGGGGAACCGAGCAAGTACCAGCCAACCGAGCGAGGACCAGCCAAATCGACTAGGGAGGCAGGCAAGACGAGCTCCGACGGCTGGACTTGAACGGAGGCCGGGCGGAAAGGGGGCCGGCGACGGCCGGTCAGAGAGGGGTGCCCATGATTGGAAGGGAGGGGAACGACGGTGGCCAGGCGGAGAGGGCCAGCGGTGGCGGATCAGACGGGGAGGAAGAGACAGCCGGACTCAGTGGAAAGACGACCGGCTCGAGGGAAGATCTACAGCTGGAGGCTGCAGATCGGGACGAACGGGCCTAGCACGGCTGGCAGCAGGGCTGCGGGGCTGGATGAGGCCGCGCACGGCAGCAGCGAGCTGAAAAATGAGAGCAGTCGGAGGAAGGGTACGAGCAAAGCTCAGCGGCGGCGGTGGCTAGGACGGAGCATGCACGGAGTTCCATCGTGCGGGAGAGGCTAACCTAGCATCTGATACCATGTTGGATAATGAGCAACTAGTATTCACTGAGGGCCAAAGGGCATTACATATACATGTGTGGTAAAGTGCATGAAACTCCTTATACAATGGGGATATACCGAAAACGGACTATAGACATCTAACACTTATATGTTTATTTCTTTTGAAACTGACTGCAGCCTGCAGGTGGCTGCTTTTTATGTCCGGGGTCTCTAACTAGGATTTTTCTTCTTCTTTGAAGCTAAACCACTTTGTAGCTGAGATGAAGATCATATTGTTTATTTGTTTGTTTGTTTGTAAAAAGAACAGATATTTCAGTGTTCACTCTTCATAGTAAAAATAACATTCTGCTCCTTTCTTTGTTTTTTGTTTTTTACGCCAAATAGTAAGCTACTCAAAGTAAGGATTACGGTCTGCTAACCTTCTACTCCTTTAGGAGCAAGGCAGAAGTTGGTGTTCGTAATGTGTAGCATTTCATAATGTCAGGTATCTTGATATTTAGGAGGAGCTGGAGCAACTCTGATAGATGAGATTTGAGTGTGATGCATACTTCTGCAACTGATGAAAATGTTCCAAAGTATGAACTGTGATCACCCTGATAACTGGTCAGTTCATGTACATCCCCTTTTCATGTTGTCATGTTGGATTTTCCATATACTTATGGTTCTTGGTATCATTTTCAGTTTGCAAACATGCATCTGCTGATGATATGTAATAATTGATGCCTTGTATTTGATCATAGCTGGGGAGAAGAGGTTTAAAATGCAAAGGACTACACCACACGAGGTGTTTCTACTAATTAAACATTTAAGCTGCATATACGTATAGTTATGCCGCGATTGGCCAACACGTTCATCTCCCCAACATCTCTGCCGGCTGCCGTCCTCTGATATGGCGCAAGGTGAAGCTGAGAGGGATCCTGACATTTCGCCGCTGTGAATGGAAGATGAATGCATTGATCTTGGGGCTTCAATGTGAGAGAGGCGAGTAGCATCGATCTTTGAAGATGAATGCATTGATCTTGGAACACCATTTTGAGACCTCAGAAGGAGTTTACAAGTGACAATTGTTGGCCCACATGAAAAATCGGTTCTTGGGGAACACCAGGGAATGGAATGGTTGATCAACCTGGTGAGACGACCTGCAATTCGGAATACAGACTTGCTCTGTTTTCTAGTACTCTGTGTTTACTAGAGATGGTTCATTACTACTCCCTTCGTTCGGAATTAGTTGTTGCGAAAATGGATGTATCTAGACGTATTTTAGTTCTAGATACATCCATTTTCGAGACAAGTAATTCCGAACGGAGGGAGTATCCACTTGTTGCTGCAACTTTGTACTATGTGCTTGTTTGTTAACAGAGAATGAAGATTGCATCAGTTCTTTTTTTGCGAAAAGGGGGATTGTCTGCATCAAGCGATGAACACAGCCATAAATGATTGCATCTGTTGTTATCCATTGTCCGTCAAATTTGAGTTGATGAAACAATATGCCTGCTATATGTACACTGTTAACTCTGTTTTTCATTCTGTATATACTCATGTATTCCCTGAAAAAGCAAAAGCTGTGATTTTCATTGCATTACATTTAAAAACTATAGTTTGTCAGTGAGCTTGCTTTTATTCGAATCTCCCGGCGCTACCTTTAGTCGAATCTCCCTGAGCTTTCTTTTATTTGCTATAATCCAGTTCGTAGCAGAGAAAACCTCCTTCAGTGTTCACTGCCCACGTGGCACCATGAGTTTTAAAACGTCAGAAATGTTGATACCTAGCCACCTAGGAGACACTGGAGCGACACTGCTTACGAGGTAAGATTATTGTGTATACCTACAAGGCTACAAACATCTGATGTTGTTTTGAGCTTGAAAGCACATAATACATTTGCTGATGAAATAAACTGTTGCATCCTCTGTTTATGCATTGACGTGGAAGATGGTATGGACTACACAGTCCACACCGTATGCTGCTACTAAATTAATATGCACATGTTATTATGGAGCAACTTTTCATGTCCGCTGGTGGTGGCCTCTATATGCCACAAAGTGAAGCTGATGTAGACCCAGACATCCAGCTGTGAATGTCAATTGTGCATTACTCTTTGGTGGCTCAATAGTCAATACTCCCTCTGCCCCTAAGTACATGATGCATAAACTTAGTCAAAAAGTCAATGTTTTCTAAGTTTGACCAATTATATAAAAGAAAATATCAACAACTATAATATCGAATGAATATGTTATGAAAATATATGTGGAGACATGCAATTTTATCTTCATAGGGATTCACTTCGTTTACTAGTAGTCTCTGTTTTTAGAGATGATTTACTACTATCCATTTGTTGCTTTGCTGCCACTATATTTTTGCTTGTTCATGGACAATGAGTGAGGGTTGTATATGTTTGTTCAGGGATAAAGTGTGAGGCTAGCCAATCAAAAGAGGGACCACGACGACAACTGGGCCGATACGGTAGGTCCGAGTTGCCCCAATTTCAAGTGGGCCTTTTGGTGTAGTAGAGAAAAAAACAGGCTACTCAGTTCTTAAAATTGTAATCAAACAGTCGGATTCCCCTTGTCCGTACCAGTTGTGAGTCGATTGTTTCATGCTCGGGGAAAGCCCCCGAACGGGCGATTCCTGGTCCGTCCCCCGGCCGGCACACGGCGACCCGCTCTCGCCGCGTGAGCAGCTCGAGCAATCCATCGACAGCCGACGGGTTCGGGGCTGGGACCCCCGAGCCCAGTCCTCGGAGCCAATCCTTTTCCTGAAGTTACGGATCCGTTTTGCCGACTTTCCTTGCCTACATTGTTCCAGCCGACGAGCTTTTGGCTTCGGCACGTCAACTATCTTCCTCGTAGTGCCACTTTGCGGCCGCCACTAGGTGGCTTTTTTTCTATTTCTTTGGCTTGATTGTGCTTTCTTTGGCTTGATTGTGCTGTGGCCCCAGCCGTTATTTGTCATGTGATGTGGAACTGTCGTTGTATGGACCGTTGCTTTATTTATAAAGCGGGGCAAAGCCTATTTCGAGAGTTCTTGAAATTTTGTTTTCTCCTCTGCTATACCTTTGGCTTTCTGAGACGCTTCTGCAGTGATGCAAACTTGCAGAGTTAATTATAAGGTGGATCCCTAAGAATATGTTGTCAATGCAGACTCACTTTGTTTATTAGTACTCTCGGCTCTGTTTTTTCTTAAGGCCACCTAATTGATCTCTTGTTTGTAAACGAAGAATGAGGACGCATAAGGTGCTGTTATTCAAGTTCCGAAAATTTAAGCGGTTCAAGCATGCACCAAAACGACCAACTTTGAGGTTTAGTAACGTGTAAAACCTGCAGTTTGACTAAGCATATATACTCGTGCATGCTTATTTGCTTTGCTTTAGAGCTTGGCACGCATGGATATGTGCCTTGCGTGGCGAAGATGAAAAGGCTTCTCCTCTGCTCTACTTTGGTTTCTGAGACGCTTTTCAGCTTTGTTAAAGCCTTATGCCTTGTTAAAGCATTCAATTTTGTTAAAGCTAATGCCTTGTCGATCATGTTAGCAAGAATAACCCAGATTGCTTCGTGTCGTGCCGTGTCGGTCAGCAGGCCCAGCTGCATAGCTAAGCTAGATTTCCAAAGAATATTTAACAGATCTGCACCTAATAGCTATATATACACGGCAGACGGCAACCTGCAAGCTACACCAGCTGGTCGATTTACATGAGCGTCCAACTTTCTCTGACCTATTCTACCATTAAACGACATGAAAGCAAAGTCCTTAGAAGTATTTTGACATGGTGAAGGAGCTCAGTTTCTAGCGCCCGGAATAGGAAGGGGCAGCCGATCGATATTCCATATACTGGGATTTTTTTCATTTCTTAACTCTCTGTTGTGCATGTTTAATTTGATTTCTAGTCTAGTATAATTAATTAATCTGTATTTCCTTTACCAGCACTAAAAAGATCCAACAGAGTGCGCCAGCGTTGAATACTGTATAACGAGAGCTTCAAGAGCTTGTCGTGAAAAGGGGAGAAAATAAGATGGCGCTAAGCGTCGCGCGATCCCTGGTGGGGAGTGCCGTAAACAAGGCGGCCTCCGAGGCCATGGATGAGATGGCATTGCTCATGGGAGTGAGGAACGAATTATGGTAAGGATCAATTACTCGTTTCTCTTTGCAATTTTTTATTATCCATTAAAATCATCTTTTTCTGAGGCCTTAATTTGATGCTGCCCACTTCTTCTTTTGAAAAGCATTTAACAAATATGCCAGAAATATGGTAAGACACACATAACCATGGGACAAATTAAACCATGACCATCAATTTCATTTCTGATCTAATTAACAGGTACATCAAAGACGAGCTAAGAATAATGCAAGCTTTCTTGAGAACTGCTGAAAGGATGAAGGGTAGAGATGAGCTTGTCAAAGTTTGGGCGGAGCAAGTAGAGGATCTATCCTATGACATTAAACATTGCTTGGACGAGTTCCAGGTTAATTTGGGACACCCAGGTTGCTTGCAACGACTGACGAAGCTTAGAGACCGCCATGAAATTGCTGTCCAGATTCGCAGCCTGAAAGTAAGAGTTGGAGAAGTAAGCAACAGGATGCAACGCTACAGTCATTTAATGAAGCCCATTACCTCAGATAGCATGGATGAGGGGAAATTATACAAGGAGGAGACCAATTCTGATATGGAAGGCATCCACAGTTATTCCCATAGTCTTGATGAAGTGGAACTTGTGGGCTTTTCAAAGCCTAAACAGGAGTTGATTATGCTGATGGATGTCAACGCCAAACATGGTCCAGCCAATGTGATATGTGTTGTTGGCATGTGTGGTGTAGGCAAGACTACTCTTGCAACCAAGATCTATGAAAGTGATGTTGCGAATAAATTTTCTTCATGTGCTTGGATCACAATCTCGCAGCCATTTTGCAGGATTGAGTTTCTTAAAGACATGTTCAAAAAACTTCTCGGTGATGAAGCATTGATGAAGCAACTTGAAGGGAAGGTGATGCGAGAAGAGGACCTTGCCTATTACCTGAGGATAGAGCTACTTGAGAAGAGGTACTTTGTTGTTCTTGATGACTTACGGAACATAGATGATTGGATTTGTATCAAATATATTGTTTTTCCTCTTGGTAACAACAAAGGTAGCCGGATAATAGTAACGACACAAAATGTTGACTTAGCCGAGAAGTGTAATTTGGAATCTTCCAGATCACTTATCTACCACCATCAATCCCTAGAAACAATTGATCCTATAAGGTTACTGCTAAGGAAGATGAGGAGAAGTGAGGAAGACATGAAAAATGATAAGAACATGAGGGAAATAGTTACTAAGATAGTTAAAAAGTCTGGACGGTTACCCCTAGTTGTACTCACACTAGGAGGCATGCTTTCCTCCAGAGTGGTTACTGAGTGGCAAAGTATTTATTACCAGCTCCCCTTGGAGCTAGAGAGCAACCAAAGCGTTCAAGCAATAAAGAAGATGATTATCCTGAGCTACAACCACTTGCCTTCTCATCTTAAGCCATGTTTCCTATACCTAAGCATATTTCCCGGGAATGTTGAGATCCAAATAAGGCATTTGATAGATAGATGGATAACAGAGGGATTTGTCACATCTAGGGTTGGAATGGACATTGAGGCTGTCGCGATGAGCTATTTTTATGATTTAATTAATAGAGGTTTGATTCAACCGTCAAGAGTAAATGTAGAAGGAAGGGTCAAGAGTTGTCGAGTCCATGGTGTCATCTCTGATATCGTGGAATCCATTTCAAGAGATAAAAAATTTGTATACCTTACAAGTGATATTGTAAGAAGAGCGCCAGAGGAAAACTTCCGCCATGTAGCACACCATGGTCAGAATTGCCCGAATATTAGCATGGATTGGAGTTATGTTCGATCCTTTACTTTGTTTGGTATGCTTCCCATGGAGCCAGTATGTTCAGCTTACCTAAGAATGATGAGTGTCTTGGATCTTCAAAGTGCAAAATGTAGTATCACACAAAAAGATATCAACAACATAGGGTTGTTGCACCGCTTGAAATATGTGAATGTTCGAGGACATTTAAATATTTGTGCACTTCCAGCATCCATAGGGAAACTGCATGGCTTACAATATTTGGATGTCAGAAACACTTCCATCACATCATTACCAACTGAGATCAGTAAACTCCATAGTCTAGTTAGTCTTCGTTGTAGCAATGAAAAAATTCATCAAGATGGCCCAAAGGAAGGCTTGATGCTCACACTGTGCCTGCCCATGGTATCCATAGCTTTTGG